AATATTCACAGGAATTAGACACCTAGGAATTTTTTGTTTGTTTCTTATGACATTTGTCTTTTTGCTCATAGCAAATAATTATTTCCTTTTAAAGCTACATAAATACTTCTGTACTTAAATAAGTCAGATAATGATACCTAGTACTTGCAAGCATGATGATCTAGATTATGCTGCTCCATGACATTTGAAGGAAAGTCATTATTGATCGTGCAACATTTAAGTTCTTGATCAGAGTTATATAGCTACTTCAGAAGACAATAAAAATCCAAAAAGAAATCACAAAATACATTAAAGTTTGTTTGTAATTAAGCGCAAAGCTACACAATGGGCTATCTGTGCTCTGCCCACCACAGGTATCGAAACCCAGTTTCTAACATTGTAAGTCCGCAGACATACCACTGTGCCACCGGGGGGCAATACATTAATGAAAATAAAAACAAGATAAAACTGGTTGGATATGTAAACATTAATTGTTAAATCATAATAATTCTGGTTCTGTATTTTTATTTTATTTTAGGCAGCAATACCAACTCCACAATACATCAGTTTAAAATAATTTTGTGTCTATTGACTTAAATGGGGAAAATAAAATTATGAAGAGGACAATTACTTCCTTGAATTTCACTTGTCACAGGGGTCAAATATTTGGCAAATCACCTTAAATAATGAACTTGCCCACCAGAACTCATTGTGGGAAAAGCTCTTTCACTAAAAACAAAGCCCATTACCTGGATTTCATCAACATTGTTCAAGTTTAGTTTTTAATAAAATAGACACTTTCAACTTTGTAATTATAAACTTTACATTTCCTAATAAGTTATGTAACATTGTTTACTATTCCAGTTTGTTTGAGATAAAAAAGTTTATTCTAAATACAAGACTTCATGGACAGTTTGTAAAATCACACCCATTTTCACAAACAAGTTTTCTCCTATTGCATTTTGAACACAAGATTCAACAATATTCTTGCTACTAATTATAGATTTAAATGTTTTACAGAATATCGCAACCTTTTTGAAACTTTCATATAAGACTAACTTTTTATAAATTGTCATACTAAACCAAACTAGTGTATTTACCACTATTAGCTTTATATCCCATTTGTTTATACTATTACTATATATAGTTAACATTACCTATATAAAAGTTTATATAAATTGTTACTAGTTAAGTTACATTAGTTTTTGCTGATTACTTTTATCATATTTACCATTGCTGTAACTTCCTTTTCTAAGTCTTATTATTATTAGTGAACATTTTTGAATAGTCTACTTACTAGTTGTTACTGAAAATTTAACTATTTACTTTTCTATTTTCAACTCCACATGTTAAGTAACAAAGGTTAGTTAAAGTGAAAGTAGTTGTGTTAGATACATCTCATAGTATGTTTAATATACTGTTGTTTTTTTATTACTTTTAACACTACACCCAAATAATAATGAGTCACACCAATTAATCTCAGATGTCAGGCTCCTCAAAAATTACACTATCAAGAGTTATTTATTGGGTTTCATGGGAGACATGACATATCTAGAGAAGATTGTGTAAAGCTTTACTTATAAATGATCATAGTGATGTTGTGTTGCTCAATAACATCAATTCTATGACAACACTTCAAACTAACAATTAGCGTTTGTGTGCTCTGTTAAGTATACTCTGTTCTTTCATTGGTTACTTTTATTAACATTATTAGTTAGAAAGTTCAGTGATACTTAGTTTTTCTTTTAATTTTTCATTATTATGCTTTTATTATAGATTGTTTTGTACTGTTAGCTTAGTATATAAACTCAAGACTAACCTAAGTCTCCTGAGCTGAACAAAATATTGCTAAAAGCAAGAGTACCCAACTGATGAAACAATACATTGTAATCTTTATAAAAAATAACATAATGAAAGTATATTTAATTACTACACTCATAACCAGGTTGATTTTCAGTTTAATCTAAATAGGTAGCTTTCTTTGATTGGAATTAATATGAGAAAGAGTAAGATTTATCATAACTTGATTCACACATTTAATACAGATGGCAACCCAGACAGTAATGTGACTGAAGAAAAATATCTTGTCTTTATGGTGGATTAGACATGCAAGCCATTAAAATAGTGCTCTGTTGCTAGTAGCAAAGCGAATAGAATTTTAGGGTGTATTTAAAGATACAGTGATAACAAATCTAAAATAAGAAGAAATTCTATATTCTAAGAACTTAAGAGTGAAAGTAAAGATTATATAACAATATGTCCACCATGCTGTACATGCCATCTCCACTGCTGACGAGGCCTTTTGCCTAATACCAGGACTCATCAGGCTTATGGAATACTAGTTAAGCCTAACTCAGAATACCATGCATGGACAGATAACTTATTGGAAAGTTTAACAGGAGTGCTACTATGATCATTTCAGGGTTAGAAGGATTATCTTATGGAGATATATTAAGATCTCTTAAGTTATTTTCTCAAGAGAAAAGAAGGATAAGAAGTAATCTTATTGAAGTTTACAAGATTATCTAGAGGATCAACAGAATAAGGGTATCTGATTTTTTTGTGCTAAATTCTGAAGACAAGAGGAGAGAATACAAGATGATGGTTTGGCAAACACAAACTAGGCTTCAGTTAAAACAGTTTTATTTTATTAACAGAGAGTCTAGCTTATGGTATAAGTTGTCATTAACAGTGGTGGAGTTCAGCACTATAAAAATAATTTAAAAGGAGAACCAATAATTTCTTGAAAAGTAAAGGTTAAGGTAAAGTTTTTATTCTTTCACAAGGGTAGGTGTGCAGGGACATCCTTGAATAGTCTTTTGTTGCCCATATGTCATGTTTTCAGCCTGAGAAGGGCTTTTCTTTAGTATTAAAGAAATAATTCTATGACTAAGAAAAAATTATAAGAATAAGTCTTAACAGCCCCAATCCTGGTGTGTTTTTAACAACATTATTTTTAAGTTAACATGTGAAATGGTTTACCAATTGACCTATACTATTTGTTATTTAGACTTATTTCAGCTGCATATGTGAATGAGGTACATTTGTGTTGGCTTCTTTAGTTAGTGCTTTTGTAGATGGAGGGGTGTCTGTGAAAATCCAAACAGCCTTCAACTAAAGACATTGTGCTTAAGTTCTTAACATTATTTAATTTTTAGAACTGTTATCATTTATGACAAAAAAATACCATTTTATAGGAGAGTTAAACAATTATATAAACCTAAGAATTTTAAGTTGTCATCAAAATGAATTGGAAAACAATTTTGCACTAAAGTTGTAACATTCTCTTTCTTTCTTGTGTGTGTGCCTATATATATACGTATATCTGTCATTGTCACTGTGCCAAGAGCTACATTCAGTCTAGGTAATCTAACTTTTAAGTATTCATAATAGTTATAATGCATCAGTATATTCTGACAATAATTACTCACAATACATACTAGACAATGAAACCTTTTCAGCATTTATTTACATAAATGATAGTTTAAGCAACAGAAATGTTTAACAGGGATAGTATAAGTAACTTGAAATGATCAAATGATTACTAACTCATTAGTTTCAGTTTTAACCATACACTGACAAACTCTGCCTCAGTATGTAAATTTATAATTATATATACATATACACATATATATATATATGTATATGATCAAGTAAACGATTATATTCATCTGTGAACTATTTAATTTGTTTTGTCCTTCACAGTCTTTAGGCTTATACTTTCTACATACATTCAGTAAATCATGTGTTACATCAGCTTAGAATAATGTTGTTGATTCACATCAAGTACTTTAGTGAAAATAATCACTGTGGAGTAGTGATTTTCAATAGCATTGCGGTTATTCATAACCTGCTTATGATTTTTTCTTCTTTTTTTTTCTGGTAAGAAATGTTCACAATCACTCAAAGAAATAGGCTTAGTTGAACTACAACATAAAGCTTCCACTCATTGTTGTCAGGCTATTCGTGTGTTTAAAGCACAGTAAAGAAAGTGCTACTAAGACAAATCTTACACAATTTTTACAATATACATACAGTCAATTCATTGTTACACTTCACTTTGCATGAGAATGTCAAAATTAATGACATGAAAATTAATAATGGCTGCATAACCACTGAAAATAATAGCAATTAGAAGTAGTCTATTGGTGTTTTACACTCAAATTGCAGTACATCAAACTGAAATAAACAATTCAAAATATACCAACCTCAATAATTACAGATATGTTTGCCATGCTAAAATAAAGGTAATTTTCCCTATAAAATATTTTCATCTTAATGTTTGACTCTTGCTTGTGTGTAAAATCATTGTACAGTTAAAAGCAACTTTCTCATCCCAACAATTCACAGTAATTAATTAATTTTGTAAATCTAGTAATTCATAAGTTTTGCCACATTCTTCAGTAAACAGGAACGTAGTGCTATATGAACTAATAAAAAATTACTTCTCGTTAACTAATTATACCTACAATATATAACAAACAAATGTAGCTATGGTAAGATAACTATATAACCTAGTATAGGCTTAAAATTGTTAAATACAGAAACAAATAATTCAACTCACTAGGAATTGAGTAGCAATACTACTACTTCTACTAGCATATGTCACACTTTAGCTTAATCATATGGGATATTTTTATTTCTTAGTCTTAGTTAACTTTTTTGCACAACCCCATACGGAGAACAAATTATACCAAAAAAGTAAAAATAATTAATTACTTTCGTTTACAATACAATAAATCAATGCATTTACAAAATCAACGAATGAGAGGATAATAATCATAAATGGTGGTCAGTAGAGAAAATTACACTTCAGACTTGGCCGAACTACATCGTCTTGCAGCTCAGAATCAGACTACAGTTTAGTAATCTGATCCTCCGTCATACTCATAAACTCAATTCTCTATTTTTTGTGTCTGAGTAATCTAACAGTGAATGAATATATGTAAACTAAATACGAACTGCTTTGTATAATAAACTCGAGATATAAGTACCAATGCATCTTTATTCGTCTTTCTTACCTTTTTGTGTGAGTTAAGAGGTTTTAGGCAAATATCAGCCGACGACACGACAGCATAGAAGAAAGGTGGCCGCACCTTGGGTCACGTGACTGTTAGATTGAATCCGGGATCTTTTAAAAAATTCATTTGATATATATTAAATTAAATGATTTATACCCAATTTAGGTATCCTGCAACATAAATTAGAAAAAGTTAATTAGTTAATGTGACTATTAGTACTATAAATTGCTATATAATTTGTGATTTGTGTGGTATTTTTATGTTTAAAGTTATTAATAGCTTGGTAGTCCCCATCAGATGTTAAGAATCATTAAGTTGAGGTTCTGAGGCCAAAAGCCAGGGGGCGAAACTTTAAATGTTTAAATTACCTAAAATAATAAAATGAATAACAATGTTACTATGTAAAACAACATTTTATCTCTGATTAAAATAAGTACAATAGCATATAAAAAAACTAGAAAATTCAAGGAAATTTCTATGTCATTTTGAACACTATTTTTGCCACTATTCTCTGGTGTAAGTTTCCTATTTATGACAACTCAGGAATCATATATTGCCATATTATTAAATTAAAAGTCCTTCGGTGGGACAGCGGTAAATCTATGAGCATGCAACGCCAAAATGTAGGATTCCGTTCCCCGCGATAGACACAGCAGATGTCTCGATGTGGCTTTACACTAAAAGAGACAAATTAAAATTTAAAAAATGTGTATATTGTTGTAACGAATTCTCTCGCTTGGCGAGTTATTTTCGATAATTTGGTTAAAATAATGCCCAGTCTAGTCCACGTAACTCTAACGAATTAATTTATTTCTTAAGTAAAGTGTACTAGAGTCAACTATTACTGGTAGACCTAATTCGCAAACAACGTTTCAACAGAAATTCTGAAACTAAAGTACACCTGTTATACTTATGAACTTACCTGCAGAATTTCGTTGCTAATCAATCGATAACGAACTCATTGACTAATTGACTGACTAACTGAAACACAGACGGACGGAATCTCACTTTTTAACTCGCTAACTGACATGAACTGAACACTCAATAATTGAATAATTCACGAACTCTGGTATTTATATTATACTCTTAAGTCTACCTAGTACAAGAAAATTCTAGATTCTACTGAAGCCTTAAGATTCATAAAAGTTCTCGACCTTTCATCATCATGACGTCATTACATGGTCTCTCTGGCAAACAAACATCTAAATAAAATGATAAAAATATAACTTACAACAATGCTGTCCTCTTCATGGACTGTGAAGACCCTTGTACAATCCTATTATACAAATAAAACAGTACAGTAAACTTTCCACTCACTAAATTGGTGACTCTTTTCTTGTTTATTACATGGAAGTGATTTTAACATGAATCCTAGGCTCTTCAGCAAATTGAATTTTTGCTCGAAATTTCTTATCTGAAATTACCCAGCTGGTTGTTCTCTCACCAACATACTTACAAAGATGATAATGGTGGATGACATTTGGCTTAGACCACCTGTTCTTCTGAATTATGTAAACCACGTGATGGACTGCTTTCAGTACAATGTATGGTCTTTCCCAACACCTGCTAAACTTTAAAGTTTGTCATCTCTTGAAGCAGAGATTGTACAGCTGTACAATGTTAACTCAATGAAATCCAGTATTATCAGCATTAACATCATAGTAACTTTTCATTTTATCTCTAGCTGAATTAAGTATTTCCAAGATAAAATCATATGTATATCAATGATTTTCTTTAATCTTTCTCTGCATATTTTATAAGACAAGTACATATATAAGTAATCAAAAGTTAAAGTTAATTGTATGAATACACGTAATAGTAATAATATTTGAATTGAATTTGCATTACACAATGAATATGTTTCAATATAATTTTCTTGTAATACTCTCATGTGGAGTTAAGAAATAGCATGTATAAGGGCTCGAAGTCATGAGATCAGTTAAATAACCATGTGTGCATAGAATCATATTTGATTTTAATTGTGAGGGTGACACTCTGATGCATAACTAGCAAAGATATTTATCTGAAACTGGACTTCCTGTCAAGAGGAAGCAGAAGAGTCTTTGAATCTCTGGGAAAGATCATTATTGTATATCAACTTGTCAAGAACATAAATGCCAGACAATTAATTCAAAGCATGGAAACAAGTCTGTCAAGAAGCCTAGGATAAATTAAAAAGACAAGTGGTGGTATAAAATTAGAGTAGCTGTCAAAGAAATTGATGACAGATCATCAAATCGTGGCTGGAATGAGCTTAAAGTAAAGTTACGAGACAAATAGTAACCTGAGGCTAGAGTAAAGATGCCAGTGGAACAATATCTCTTGTGTAGCACTTGTGATCTCAGTTTGAGATGGTAAGAGAAAAATAGCTATGCACTGAGTGAGATAGCACCTAATAATTATGAAAAATCTGAGTATACTTAGCAATAAATCAATATACATCTGCCAGCCTACACCAAAAATGAATAAACAGTCATGCTCTCTGCCCTATTAATGCAAGTCTCAGCTTCCTAGTGAATATAATATTGTTACGTCTCCAGTCGTTAGTTAATTTTCCGTAACTTCGTTCCCACGAAATTTTAGCGACACAAGTCCTTTCTTAATAAAACTGGTTTATTCTTTCCGAATATAACTTTACCGATACACTTATTTTCAACAGTCGCTCTATAACAAACGCTATAACAATGAACTTCAACAATACTTTCTGACTGCAGTTCAATTACTCACTACCTACACACACACTGTCACGTCACGCAAGGACCATCTTATATATACCAGCCCACCCCCAATCTAGCAAATGCTAGAGCACTCCCGAAGGAACAGGATAGTTCTAGAAACGTGGCGTGACACTAGTCATGTGACCTCGCTGACGCAACAATATATTTTATAACTTAGCTTTTAAATTCTTCTTAAAGCTTTTTTAATAACAAACATAAGAGTTTGAATCTGCAAAGTTAGAAATGTTTAGTGCTGATATACTTTTGAATAATATGTAGAAGAAAATACATGTTCGATGTTTTTGTTTAAAAAATATCTGACTTATTCCTTATTTTCATGTAAATCTCCTCGAATTGGTAAACTGTTGAACGCCACTGACTGTATTCTTGGCATTTTAGAATACTTATTAGTTGTATCGAGTAACTGTCTCATCAATAGTGTCTGTTACATCTATGTAAGACTCTGCTGAGTGACTATCATCTGTATGTAACTAAAGAAGGCATAATAGCATGTTAAATTCTCTCCCAAGCATTAGTGGTCATGTTGTGTTGCCTACATCGTCATGTACTTCCTTGTTAGGATTTCTGCTACCTTTATAGGAACAGCATATACTTCTGGCTATTTGGTGAAATAGCTCTTAGCAATCATGACATATTTATTCCCATTGTCACTACGTGGTAGAGAACCAAGCACATCCACAACGACTTTTTCAGTTCTTGTTCTAACATAATATTTCTGTAGTTGTCCATGCTGTTTCTTATGTGGATCTTTCTGCTCACAGCATAGTTTAGATGATTTACAGCGAATGTATCCGGCTGTTGGAAAGTTGGAAAGATACTATGAAAGAACCAACTGTAGTCGTTATTTTTGTCCTCTGGTATCTTCTCATTTCGGATGTAACAAGCACTTTTGTAGGCATAATTAATCTTACTGTGTCCAGCCATCTTTATCTGAAAGTTTTTCTACACTATTTTTGATCCACTCGATGATTGGTTTCAAACTCATATCTTCTGATTAAGCAACTTGCATTTGAGGGTTAGATCACATTAACTCTTCATCATCATTTGTGGATGTCACCTATTGGACTATACTTTGTTGTAATTTTGGTTGGTCACCCTGACTATCTCCTGCTTGTCTATCTTCATAGTATTTGTATTCTTCATTAACACATAGTCTTCAGGATATTGCATCAGCATTTACATGGTTCCATCCAGAGCAATGCATGATGCTAAACTTGTACTCCTGAAGTTGCTGGAACCATGATGATATTTAACCTTCTTAGTTGTGAAAATTTACCAGCTACTTCAATGTTGAATGCTCAGTCCAGAATGAAAAACTGTTGTCCATATAAATAATGATGAAAATGAATTAAGGCTCAAGCAACTCTTAGTAGCTATTTTTGGATTGAACAAAACCTCCTTTCTCCAGAATTCATTGCCTTGCTATGATAGGAGATCACACATTCTTTTCCGTGTTTTATTTTTAATAACACTGCACCCACTGCAAAATCATTAGTGTCTATATTTAATATGAACAGATCTTCAAAAGTCGGGTATGCTAATACAGAAGGAATGGATAATTCCTTCTTTTAGTCCAACAAAATTTATATGTTTATTTCTAGTAATTTATGTAGTGGATAAGCTATTTTAGAGAACGATTTCATAATGATAGCAAAAGCACAGTTCAAGAAATCTTTTTACCTGACGCAGGTTCTTTGGCATTGGCAAATTCTGAACAGATTAAATCATAGATGAGTTTGTAGACAACCCTCTCTGCTGACTATATGTACCAGGAAATTTAACTGTTGATGTAACAATTCATCTTAAGGTCCTCTACCCTTAAGGGAGTATTAAAAATTTTCCTTGACCCATTATAAGCATTATCAAAAGTCTTCCACTGAGTGATTATGTCATCCAAGCAACATTCCAATGTAGTTCAGAGAGGACACACTCCATCATTTGTTGACATGTAGCAGATGCATTACATAATCCAAATGGTAAAATAACAAATTGCTGCAAGACTGTATTCTCTCTATTTGTTTCATTCCCTTGTACTTACCAATATCCACTTTCCAAACACAATGTTTAAAATCATTTTGATCCAGATAAAGCACCCAAAATAGAGTCAATCCTAGGAAGTGAGTTCATTCGTCTACTGACAGTCATGCAGAACCTTGTGGATCCATTATTATTCTTCAAAATAGATAATTTCAATGGGCTATAGTCTATTCTGTGACTTCTTGCTTCTTCATGGCTTCTATCTCTTTGAAAACCTCATCCTGTTTTGCAAGTGGGAGTCTTCTGGTTAACTGACATGTAGAAGCTGCAAGATATCTGAGTTTTTACTTACGTTATGAGACCCAAGGGCGAAGGTGTCTCGATATTCTATGAGTAAGTTATGTAATCTATGGTATTGATCAGCTGTAAGACATCAACAGCTCTTGTAAGTGAGGTTGTAATCTATCCTCATGTGAGGATTCAACATTAGACTGATGTTCTTTGATGTGGAAGTACTGCTTGTACTGCTTCTTTTCTTGCAATGTTCCATCAAGATCTGACACGAATTTTAAAGTTTGCATGGCCTTAATAGCGACACTTTTATTCTTCAGATCCAGAAGAGTTTTCCCATCAATGTTCCTTCAGAACACTCTGGAGTGTTTGGTTCTACTAGAGTACAGTCATTAGATGTGAATTTATTCCTAATCAGTCCTGCTATGGGTATTTCACTTCTTAGTAGTACATGACTGTTCTCCTTGTTGTCACTAGAAGTTCAACCTCTAGTATAGTAATTGTCATGTAGTGCATGAGAATTTCCTGGTCATAGATGGTGAAGCTATTTGAAGCTAGCCTAATGTCTCCATATGGAGTCAGTTTCCGATGTCCATTTTTCCTTGATGTCAATTATTCATATACCTTGAACATCATATCTCATTTGGAGCACATTGAGTATTCTCAGATGACCTACATCCCGTAAATCCAACTGATTCCTGTTTTTCTGATGTCTAATTGCTGTTCCTTCAGTCCTATTGAGCTCAAAGACTCATCCTTAGGGAATTGTCTTCTTGGTGTATTAACTACCCTTGGTTCCTCAAAGTATCATCCATAATGGCCACGTTTTCCCCATTTATAACACTTCCCTTTTTCTGACATCCTTTGGAAAAGTTTTTATCCCATGTAGGCTTTGGTCTGTAGTTCTTGGCAATATTTCCTTTCAAATTACACTTGAAACATCTATTGTTTTGTGGTTTATTTCCTCCATTATGTGTAACTAGTTGTCTTACTAATCATTTCAGTTCTTCTAGAATATCATCAGGGTGAGTTGATGTTAAAATACTATGTGATCTGGTAATTCCATAACTTCTATATGGCGCCTTTGGTTATTTAACTGCAGCTTCAATGGATTTCTTTAACTGATGTACACCTACTTTTCTTTAGCCTGATTCCCATATCCTTATCTGTTATGGCACCTTAAATTGGTCATGTGTCAATAAATCCACTATTTCACGTGGAATATCTGGGTAGGATAATTG